GATGATGATCCACTTCAGGAAAATAATTGTCTATAATTGTGCTGTAAAAAATAAAAAGGGTTTGACAATTTTTTTCATTGTTTTGTGATTAAAAAGTAACACCTGAACTCGAAGGAATTCCCGTGAGACGAGTCACACGAACCCTGATCATCAAAAGCCTCTGACGTTAAAATTCCGGGACATTTTCCATTCCTCGTGTGCAATATTTCTTCCGCTTTGACAACTTCCACCAGACTCTCGTTTCCGGTTTGCAAATGAGTGTTTCTCTGCTGATCCTCGTCGTCGTCGTTTAAAACGTCAGCTAAAGTATTGTCGGATCCGGAAATGAAACCTCCGCCTTCGGATCTCATTGCACCAAGGCTGATTTGCGTGACGGATGTTGACGACGACGACGACGACGACGAGGATTTTTTCATTTTTGATACGACGTTGTCGCGAGGCATGAGGTTGGGTGTTATTGTCTTCGACGTCGATGTGCCAGTGTCCGAAATTTGTTGCCCGGACTTCCGACGACGACGACGACGTCGGATGGACGAGGTCGACAGGGATGAGAGGTCTGAAATTGGCGTCCGTTTTCCTGACATTTTTTTATTTTATTATAGTATTTAGAAAACCGAAAACATATAGAATTTATTCCCGATGTCGGTCAAGTTATTGAAAGTTCGTGTTAAAATTTAGTCAGCTTTTGAAAAATGCTTGTGAGGCGCTCATCGGACGAATAACCGCGAACGACGTTGTCAAAAAAGCGAGGTTTACCCTAAAATTGCTTTTGTAATGAATTTTTTAAAGAAAAAATGGCTGGTTTGTACTGTATACAGTTCATGTGTAGTAATTGAGATGAATTTGAACAAAATAATTTCAAAAAATGGAAACAAAGTTCACAAATGAATCGAGGATAAAAACCCCTGAACTGGTTTTTTTAAAATAAAATTTCGAAGAAATTATGGGCTTACTTTCAAAGCCATTTAATATGACTATACACAAAATATGTCTAGTAATTATAAAAAAAAACTTGAACAAAATAATTAAACCAGAAAAGGCAACAAAGTCGACAAAGAAAGCAGGCATTTAAACCCCAGAACTGAATTTTGGAATAAAATATTGAGGAGAAAATATACTTATTTCCAAAATCATGGATTATCTATACACAGATTGTGTCTAGTAATTTAGACATAAACCTAGCCCAAGAAGTTTGAATATTTTAGTCATTTAGTGAACGTACTAAGTCAAAAAAAATAACAGAGCTCAAAAACCAGCTTGTTTTTAGATATTTTTTTTAAGATCCAAAGACCTACATTTTTGACTTTTTTCTACTCTTTAGTTTTTGCTCCCATATTTAAGGATTTAAACATAAAAATGAAGGAAATTTTGAAGAAAAAAACCTGAGATCAGTACCTGAAAAAAATGAGACCAAAAACGAATTCTTCAAGATCATTCATTCATCGGCAATCAGTAATTCGAAGGCATCGAATCCTTCAAAAAATTGAAAGGATTCTTTCAAAATATAATAATTCAACTCTATTTTTTGTTCACCGGGTTTTTAACTGAAGAAATGTGTCGAAGTTTAATTACAGATTATTTTATTATATTTTCTAGGTACGGTTATCAAAGTGATCCGAATCCTGATTTTTCACACGTTTTATTACCATCCTGGAAAATTCACTTTGAATGAAAGAAAATAATTCCGAAGGAACTTTATGGCGGTACGTAAAAATCCCAAGGTCTAGTCGTTGATTTATGTTTAAAAACTAAATTTGCAAGTGTTCCGAATGAATCCCTTGCATATTCTTTCCGGTGTAACAAACTATATGAGGAAATCCTCCCAGAAAATGTCCAACAATGAAATATGGTAATTGTTGAGCGAAAAATTCAGTTCAGCAATTTAGCAGTTGTATAGTTTCGCCCAACTCGACCGTGTCAACATTTTCCAAAAAGGCCTTGAACCGCAAAACACGAGAGATTTTCTCATCCTTCAATTTTGTATGCCTCAATTTTAAACTTTTCGCTTTTATTGTTTCGATGACTATATAGACTGCGAGTAACATCTTGAGGTCAGTTCAAGCACGAGTTATAATCGAGGGAGTACATGTACAGTATAAAAGCATTGATTCGTTTGTTGTGGTATTGCGAAGCAATTTTCGAACCTTGTACTTTTTCCGTGGATAATTTTCTCTCAAGGGAACTCAGTACATCTTCATTTTTTTTTTTAGTTTCAAAGAACAACATCCTTCTTTGCTGAAGAACAGAGCCAATTTTTTAACAATTTCCTCTCGCAATTAAACCTCGGCTTCTGTACATAAGANACTTTTTCCGTGGATAATTTTCTCTCAAGGGAACTCAGTACATCTTCATTTTTTTTTTTAGTTTCAAAGAACAACATCCTTCTTTGCTGAAGAACAGAGCCAATTTTTTAACAATTTCCTCTCGCAATTAAACCTCGGCTTCTGTACATAAGAGCAGCAGGCGAAACAGTTCGAAAGAGATTCAAAAGGAGAAAATTTTACTGTATTTGCATTTTTAATTTCTGCATGAGTGGAATAATTACAATAAAATAAACGTTGAAAAATTCATTATAAGGAGTACATCTTTGTATTAAAAAAATTTCATCAACAATCTCGATAAAATTTCAAAATTTCAATGTTTAAACCACTCTTCAGCGGAAGTTTAAATCCACTGCAACAAGCTGAGAAATCTCGTTATAAGGAGCATACTTCCTTGTAACGCAAATTTATTTTGTTTCCATCACGTCCTCAAGAAAATTCCAAACGTCAATCTAGTGCCCTATCTTTAGCAAAAGTAGAATTCCACTTCAACAAACTGAAAATTTTCATTATAAGGAGTAGATCTTTGTATGAAACAAATTTTTGTCACGTCCTCGATAAAATTTCCAAATGTCAACCTAAAGCACTCTTTAGCAAAATTAGAATATTCTACTACAACAAGCCAAGAAAGGTCATAATAAGGATCATATTCCTTTGTAACGAAAATTTATTTTGATTCACTCACGTCCTCGAAAAAATTTCAAAATGTCAACCTATAAAGAACTTTATAGCAAAAGTAGAATTCCTCTACGACAAGGTTAAAAAATTTACTTCTTCGAAAATAAATTTCATTTTCAATAATTTTGAAAAAAAAATGAATTTTTTCGGTCACGATCTCAAGAAAATTTCCAATTGTCAATCTACATATAGCAGAAGTGAAATTCCATTTCAACAAGCCAAGAAATTTACTTCTTTAAAAACAAAAAAAGAATTCATTCACTTTCAAGAAAATTTTCAAGTGTCAATCTGTAGCACTCTACTGTAAATTACGAAAAGCTGAGGAATGTCATTTAAAGAGTGTACCTCTCTGTAAAAAAAATATATATATTTCGTTTGACTCACGTTCTCGGGAATATCTCCGAATGTCATTCACTCTATCGCAGGGGTCGTCGAAAGCGAGGTCATGTCGATTCGTGTACAAAGTTGCGACTCTGCGGTTGTCAGGCCACGCTTGATGCTGACCCAGCTCGGCTTTTGTTGATTCTCGTCGATTCCTCGAGTGATGCTCATCATCATGACGACGATGATGATGATGATGATTGTGATGATGGGCATTTTCCGTGTTGCCGATATTTTGCCACAAAACGCGAATGGCTGCGATCACGGCGAAAAGTGCTGCCAGGAATGCCAACAGTTGACTGCATGACGGTATTTTCACCTGGCAAACGATTTTCATCAACAACAACAACAACAAAAAAAGCACACAAAAATTTAGTAGATTAAAAAATTAATCTAAAAAACCACGTTTTGAAAAAGGAAAAAATAACCTTAAACGTGGTGCGCATCTATTTCATTTGCATTTCACTTCTTCCCAACAATCTCCATGCGCACCATGTTTAAGGTTATTTTTTCCTTTTTCAAAACGTGGTTTTTTAGATTAATTTTTTAATCTACTAAATTTTTTTGTGCTTTTTAGTCTTACTTGAAAAACTTGGTTTTTTAGATTAATTTTTTAATCTACTATAATTATTTTTTTCTTTTAAAAAAATATTCTTATAATTTTTCTTTTCACAAAAGATTGCATTGTCATCAGTTTCTAAGCTATCCTGAAAGTTTCAGCTTGCTAGCTATAGTCGGGAAGTGAGCAAAATTTAAGTTGCAAAATTTGATCCAGACAAACAAACGGACAAGAAAGCGAGTTAATAAAAACGTGTTAATTAAATTAAAAAGGAAATAAATTTTTTAATTAGGGGAATAAACCGGGAGTTGGAGTTTTTGCAATACCTCGGCTTCTCGTTGGTCTTCTTGTAGTTGTAGACAGAGATTGTGGATCTTTTGGACAATACAGAGGGCTTCTGCAAATTGCTGGCTGTTGCTGTTACTTGCGAATCTCAGCTGGAAAGGCCTCGTCGCACCGTTTGGCTTCAGCTTGAGGATTTTCATCAAAAAGCATCTTATTTTCAGGAAGTCATAGAAATAATAAATGTCATACAATTTTCCTAAACACTTGATTTACTCTTAAAGAAAATCTTCACCATTTTATCAGGAGGAGTCATTTTCCAGTTAGATATTTTTTTTCGGATGGAAAAATCACCAAAATTTCGGCTAAATTGTCGATACATTTTTTTTGGGTGCTTAATCTCCTGCTTCAGAAGTTTCGTCGCACTGTTTTGCTTCTGCTTGAGGATTTGGTCAAGAAACATTTTATTTTCAGGAGCTCATAGAAATGATAAAAATCATGCAATTTTCCTGAAGACTTCATCTACTCTTTAAAACATTCCTCGCCTTTTCATAAGGAGGAGTTATTTCCCAGTAAGATATTTTTTGCCGAAAAAAAATCACCAGAATTCGGACTACGAATTTTAGATGAACTATTTCTGCTGAATCTTAGGCTTGATCAGTTTCGTCGCACCGTTTGGCTCCAGCTAATTGAGGATTTTATGAAGAAGCATTTTATCTTCAATAAGAGGTCATATAGAAATGATGAAAATCATGCAATTTTTCTAAAGATTCAATGTAATCTTAAAGAAAATCATTTTATACGAGTATTTGTAAGGAGTAATTTTCAATTTAGATTCTTTTAGATGAAAAAAATTATTAAAAGCGGACTAAATTTGTTATGAAAATATTTTTGCTGAATCTTAGGCTTTGTCAGTTTCGTCGCACCGTTTTGATTCTGTTCGAGGATTTCATCAAAAAACATTTTATTTTTAAGAGGTCGTAGAAATAATGAAAGTCATGCAGTTTTCCTAAACACTTGATTTACTCTTGAAGAAAATCTTTACCTTTTTATCAGGAGGAGTCATTTTCGAGTTAGTTTTTTTTTTTGGAGGAAAAAAATCACCACAAATCGGGCTAAATTTTGAATTAAAATATTTACGCTAAATCCTCGGCTTCATGAGATTCGTCGCACAGTTTTAATTCTGCTCGAGGATTTCATCGAAAAGCATTTTATTTTCAGGAGGTCGTAGAAATTATAAAAATCATGCAATTTTCCTGAAGACTTCCTTTACTTTTAAAGAAAATTCATACCTCTTTATAAGGAGGATTTTCGAGTTACTGCAAATCTTTTTAAATGAAAAAAATTACCACAATTCGGACTAAATTTTAGATAAAAATATTTTTGCCGAATCTTGGGCTTCAGGAGATTCGTTGCACAGATTTGATTCTGATCGAGAATTCAATCGAAAAGCTTTTAGAGGAGGTCAACATCGTCACACATACACCAGCAGGCACTTTTTTTTTACAAACACTTTGTCGAAGACGGCTTCACCAAACACTGATGCCTTCCTCAACGCTGCAGACCAAGAAGACCAGCGCACATTGCGCCATCCAGTCATAATGATGACTGGAACTGGACTGGCCTGCTCTACCGGCTTCCAGAATTTTCTGGAAGCGCCGCGCATGCGCGCCGCCATCTCTACTCCCCGCAACTTCGCCTACGCCGATTGGGCTTGCCGTTCCCGCCGCCGGTGACGAAAACGGAAAGCCCAAGGGGGGTTCTGTTGCGGGTCGACTAGATGTAGCCCGCAGCGCATGAACAGGAGAGGCACAGAAAGTGCGACACAGCGCATGGAAACGCTACGTCGTACGAGAAAATAAATTTGAGAATATTGTGGAACAAAAAAGAACAAATATTTTTATCCAAACATTATGAAACCTGAAGATATTGATCTTCAGGAAAAATATTCCANTTCACTGGGGTGTGACTAATTTTCTGTTTGTAAAATTCTTCATAATTCCTTTCATCAAGTGATGATTCACTTGGTGGAATGTTTTTCCTGAAGATCAATATCTTCAGGTTTCATAATGTTTTTAATAAAAGATGTTTCTATTATTATCTTGAATTGTTTGGAATTTTCGAGATATTTGTTTTTATGTACGACGTGGCGTTTCCTACGCTGCGTCGTACTTTCTGTGCCTCTCCTGTTCCTGCGCTGCGGGCGACATCTAGTCGACCCACGACAGAAATAATAAAAATCGTGCAATTTTCCTACAGGCTTCTGCTTTTAAATAAAATGCATCAATCTGCATGAGGAGGAGTTATTATCAAGTTAGATCTTATTATCATGATCTATACTTTCAAATAAAATCGATCAATAAATCCCTTCTCACCAGTTTTTCGATGAAATTTCCAGATTCCAAGCACAATGCCGACAACACAGCTGCTCTGTCGCGTGTGAAAAATACTGCTTCCGAAAACCTTTCCTCCTTCTTTCGTGGGATTTTGAAATCATTGTCCTCCTAATCAACAAATTATAAATTTTTTTTGCTTGAAAAAGGCGGCCAATTTGTTTGCTTTTCGTGCAATGGCGAAAATTGTCTTACTTGAGGAGGACAAGTGAATCGTTCTTCAGAGTTGCCGTGACTTCCGGGCCTTTTGTTGATCGGATTTCCCTGGGATATAAAAAATTAATCCAATAAAGTAAACAATTATGCGATTAGCTCACGAAAACTTGAACATGGAAAGGATGTTGAAAAAGGGAACTCACCTGAAAATCCTCGGTGGGGAAAATAACTGTTGAAATTCGGTCCCAAACGGCGCAGCTCAAGAAGACGATAAAAATAATCCCTGCGTAAATTAAAGGCAATTTCTGACAGCCGCTCATGTTGTGAAGAGAAACACTCTTTTGCATCATCAATCAACTTCGAAGATGGAGAAATAACAACAAAGTTGTGCGTAAGCATTTTCTTCCGCAGGGCTATTATTTTAAAATAAAATTCGTGGCGAAAACGACCCCCTTGAAGACTCTCTTTTTCTGAAATAAAATAATGAGGGTGGAAGAAAAAAAGCTTTTGAAAGATCACCTCGTCATTCGCCTTCAAAGAGTTTTTATCAGATCCACGTTTTTTCCCGAGAAAAACGGGATGATGGTTTTTAGATTCGGGGTTTCGGAGTCATTTGAAGGCTTTTTCTTCCAGTTCGTTTTTTTTTAGTGGATACTTTTGCCTTTATTTGAAACATGTTTTAACGAGAAAAGTGTGTTTCTTAGTATCATGACCTGAGGTCTTGAGTCACGGCTGTCGAAATTTTTCGAAAAGTATCAATTTTCTGGTATTTTGGAACATGATTTGGCACCTGAAAGATATAAATCTCAGATGAATTTTCGATCCTCAGCAGCTGATTGATGCATTGCGTAAACTGAATTCAAACAGCAAAGAAATTCACAGCATTTGGATTGACTTGCTGATTTGCGATTTTATTTATCGAATATTTTTGGAAATTTCGGAGATTTCTCATTCTTTTCTACGGGAAATTAATGAAATGCTCTGCGATTCAATCAAGTTCACTGTCTGCAAAATACCGGGAAAAATGTCCAGTCACTTGAAATGAAATTTGGGCAAAGAGAATGAAATTTGATGAGAAAATTTTAAAAATGAAGTTTTGATGACAATGTCTCATTTTTGCTTCCAAATATGCTCATCTGGTGGTCCAATAAAAAGTTGCACAGATGCAGAAAGATACATTTCAATAATTTTTGAGACCTTTTCTCCTGTGAAATACTGAGTCTTATTTATTCAAATAGCCCAGAAAATATTTTCAGATGCCATTTTAAATTTGTCATACCCCCAAAATTATCTCTGATAAGCATAAACAACATTTCAATAAAATTCTTCTTTATTTTGATCCTCCCAAAAATTTACCCCAAGGATTCACAAGAGGAATAATTTTCATTTCCAAAATATGCAATGAACATCATTCCTCCATTCCCCTGAATAAATTTTGTAATTTGAATGTTGTCTAGTCATATTACTGACTACAACGTACAAACACTTTCTACAGCCCTTTTAAGCTTATGTATTTCCACTACGCTTGGCTGCGCTTGGTGCACTAGCAATTATATTTCAAAATCCTGTTGTCAACCAAATATTTTCTCAATTGCACTCACGCTTCTTTCATTTGAAAGAAAGTATGATGCCCTCAATCTGCATCGGTCTCTATGCACAATTTTTGACTTTGGCCAACCAAGGCCAACCAACCTGTATATATGCAGGTGCATTTTATGTTGCATTAAGTTTTACCACACCTGACTCTGACTGAACATCTTGTTGATTTTGTTTTTCTCTGCAACAAAACTGTATTTGTATCTACTGTGTGAAGGATAAAATAAATAACCTAAATTACTCTCACGGATTAACTTTTGTGTTTCCTTCAAAAGCCGCAGAAAACTATTTAAACCTCCAACTCCACTTATCAACTGTAAGCAATAAAGTACAACAGTGCTTGATCAAGAAAGTCTTTTATTTACCTTAATAGTTTTTTGGACAACAGTTGTGTATTTCAATTAAATGCTTGAACAAATTTATGGAAATTTCTGTTTTGTCAAGTACTTCTTTGTCTGCATACCCAGCATAAATAAAATAAATGTAGTGCAGCAAAGTGATAAAATCAATTTGAAAGATTTCTGTATAGCTTCACAACTCTCAAAAATGGATTGCGTTAATTGATGGTCTCAATCTTCTTATTCCAGAAAATGTTTTGAAGTGAAAGCCATACAAGGGAATTTATAATATGGAGTTCATGGATTTTGTCGTCGTTTTTTTCCAGGACCCGCATATAATATATAAATTACAGTCCACTTTTTTCGGGGAATTTATGGATATGAGACGAGTCTTGTATCTTCAAGACAGGATATTTCTCAGATGCGGCTCTTTTGTGAAATACCCCCGTGCCCCGACGTAATTCACGTTTATTGCAGCTTTTCAAAACATGGGGTATATTTTTTTTATCCCAGAAATGTATTACGATACCAACGGGACAAGGTTGATGAAAAGCCCTTGGGTTGATCGAGTGACCCCAGAGGTTTATTTGCATGTGAAAAGCCCCGGCTTGTTAGCGAAGATGTTTCGGGTCATGGGTCCGTTTCTGAGTCGTGATCCAGTGAACATTGAGGCAGACACTGTGTCTGCTTCTTCTTTTACTATACTTTAGTTTAAATTTTTCTCGGCTTTTTTATTTTTTTAGTTGTGACATTGCCCAACATGAGCGATAAGAAACAAATAACCCCCGTGATGGATGATCCGTGCTGGCGGGATTCGTCGAGGTGCGAAAAATACAAAAGGGTTAAATTCTAATGTCTTTATGCTAGGATTATTTTGCTTGTATTTTTAAATGATAAATTGAATTTGCATGCAGTAGAGTACAGTACTGCAACTGACTCGGTTTTATAAATAAATTCTCCAGGAAGTTGCATTCCCGTCTCTTGAAAATGTTTTGAACTCGGTTGTTGGGTAATTTTCTGAATTAAAAAAGCTGAATTTATGTGAGGCTGGGGGAATGATTGATTTCAAAATGAAACCTTTGGAGTTTGTCCCTGTTTTCAGTTTGCTGAAAGTTTTGATTTTAGTTCAACTTTTGGGATTGGGATCATTCAAAATGGGTTTTAATCACATCATAAGCCCAGGATATTTTGTAAATCGGTTTCTGATAAGAACACAATATTTTTCGGCATGTTCTGTGTCAAACATCAGAAAATAATTCACGCTGAATTTTAATTGAAGCCAAACCAACTGTTGGAAAGAATGTCTTCTGCAATCCCTAACCAAGTGTCATAACTTGAAAGTGGTTCTATCCAGGAATAAATTGAGCTTTTAATATTTGTAAGCCATATATTTTTATGCCAAAGACACATGCATAAGTAATCATTTCAAAAATCCCCCTGTCAAAAATAAGAGGTTTAAAAAAACAAATGGAGGCAGAAACTTTTCATCACTCGTAGAAATTACAAATAAACAGCAGAACAATGCGTACTTGATTCGAATTGAATCGCAGATTTTAAAAATAATGCGTTTTGCAATCACTAGTCATTCATTATTATTGCCTTGTCTTGAAAGTGGTACAATCCAGAAATAATTCGAGTGTCAAAAAATCGTAAACCATACAATTTCATGCCAAAGACACTAAAAAACATGCATAAATAATAATTTCTAAAATTCCCTTTCAGAAATAAGAGCACCAAGAAAAAGAGGGAATTTGCATTTTTCACAGCAAAAAAAGAAAAAAGTGGAGCACAATAATGCTTGCTGAAATGTCTTGTACCATCACAATCAAATTGCCTCATCCTTTTGAAAGTGTTAAAATCCAGGCGTAAATTCATCTTTTAAAAATCCCACGCAATAAATCGTCATGCCAAAAAGGGCGCTGAATAAAATCTGCACAAATGTTCATTTAAAAAATTTCCCTTCAAAAAATAATCTATATCTGAAATAAAAACAAGTCAGGGGGAAAAGTTTGCATCATTTTTTCATCTGTAAAAAAATCAGAGAACATCTGACACGTGACCTTGCTGGTATGCAGTTGAATTTAGAAGCAGTCCATAAAAATTCCATCAGCAAAAAGCTTCTTCTTCTCTATACAGTGAGACCCCAAGATGTGGACATAATTGGTGCATCAAGAGTGTCCCTAAGTTGAATTGTCCCTAAGTCGAGCCTTGTTTTCCCATAGACTTACATGATATAATTTTTAATTGGTGTTTTATGGAAGAAATATTCTGCAGTATTCCCTGAAAAAAAAATAGTTTTCCACTTGAATTTGAATTAGTGAATAAATTTTGAACTCAATAAGAACATTTTGGAGCATTGAATAGTGTATCTCTGTACTGCACATTGAAATTTTGGCATCTACAAAAATAACAATCAAGTGAAAAAAATGTAGATTTAGATCTATGTAGATTTAGATCTATGATGGAGGTAATTTTTTTAAATTAGCTAAATGGATGGTAAATTGGTGAGAGAAGTGCCCAAGAACTTTTCTTGCATCAATTTTAGGGTTGGAAATATCTGTTTCTTGTTATTTGGTTTGAAACTTATTTGCAATTTCATCACAAAATGTACCTATGTTGAGTAAGTGTCCTCATGTTGGGCCTTTTTTATTAATTTTTTCTGGGAAAATAAGTGTCCCTATGTCAAAATGTCCGCAGGTCGAGGTGTCCGCATGTGGGGGTCTCACTGTATACTGTAGTACAGTACATAAAAGTCATCTTCAGCAAAAATAAAATAAATAAATCATCAGACGAAAACCAGAGCAAATATCAAGAAAACCCGAGCAAAATAGGGCATTTGAAGAGCTAGTGCAATCCCGCCTCGGGGTTGGGAAATTATTAATCGCGTGAATTTTCCTCCCCCCGCGGGGCTCTTTTTTCTTCGCCTTGACCCTGAATGATTAACCTATCCCCGGGTTGCATAACAACGAGGTCTACGAGCCCCGGGAACGAAATTCCTTTTCAGCCCGCGGCGGAAACTCGAAAATGAAAGGGAACGAGACAGAAAAAAATATATATAATAATGAAGGGAACTCGGCGGCGGCGGCGCTCATCTTCGGCGGCGGCGTTTTTTTTTTTTTTTTTGTGACGTAAGGCGGCCCGAGCTTCGCACCTCTGGCTCAATACGTGAATATCAACTATATGGAGGGTCGACCACACAGTCCAACTCATCGTAGGAACAACTGGACGCCACACACACACACACACCCACTGTTGATGAACAGTATTGGTTTCCATCATTAAAAGGAAGCAGTGCAGTTCATTTGAATACTTTTTTGTTTATGAATAAACACACCTGGCAATCAGCTGCTTTTTGGCCAGAAATGTGTAACTTAGAGAGCATCTTTAACCCTTGTGCAGCAAAGTTGAAATATTTTTGCAAATTATTTGCCCATATGAGCACTGAAAAAATTTTTTATTTTTGAATCAAGGTCTAAGTTGGGAAAAATTCTGATTTTTTTTTTATCCTGCAGAACATTTTGCCTGAAAAGAATTCTCAGAAAAGGGTTGATTGTTTTCATGCATAGGATTAAAATTGGGGGGCTTT